CCAGGACCAAGAAGATTCTAGGATGTGGGACTTTAATTGATAAAACTAGGAAGTCCCAGGCAAGCCAGGATGAGCTGGTTACGCTAAAGCTGGCAAAGTCTTCATTTTTCGAATGGTGGAGAGGAACCATGAGACTGAAGCTGACACTGTGAGGCATCCATTGAATTAAAGACCTGTGGCTACTGTCCTTCAACACCAAATTAGAGAAAAAAGAGGAAGAAATCTAACTTGCTACCCTCACATGAGACTAAGCGAAGTGACCTGCTTGACAAGAGGTGGCTGTTAGCCCTGGCTACCCATGAGAATCACCCAAGGAACTTTAAAGAAAAGAAATACGGATGCCTGCTTTTTCTGGGGTGGGGAGTGCCGAACCTTGGAACTTTTAAAGTTCTTTAGATGATAAAGAACTGGATAAACCTGGATAATATGTCATCCAGGTTTGAGAATTACAGCTAATCAACAGGTATAAAATGGCTTACATTTTTGTGGTAATAGACAAATTCCCAATTTCCTGATCCACATTCCAGCTGTGATGATGGGACCTATTAGTAACGTGTGCTGTTTCATTGTTTTGTTCACACTTGGTTTTCCATTTGAAGAAAATTCCTTTGAGATGATTGAGTGTTCCTTTATTTTCTTCCCCTTCTATTGCTCTGTTTTCTTTTATTTATTGCCTGTTCTGTGAGGGCAGCATAAGTATTAATGTATAGCTTACCTCAGGGAACATAGTTTTAAAGCTTGAGAAAATTCAGCATTTAATTTGAGTTGAGAAGGAACAGTGGTGATATTTCTGATGAGAAATATTAAACCCTTTCTTTATGCTGGCTGGGGAGTTTTGCTGGCATCATGATAGGGAAGAGCTCCATTTGGTATCTGGCTGGGGATGGCTGCTGCTCAGGGTGAAGTGGAGTGGGCTTGGGTTGGCAAGTCCTAGAGGGAAGGAGGCAAGGTGAGTGGTAGTTACAGGCTTTAGGAATAGGGTCAATTTTTGAAACACCTGGAATGAGTGGCAAGCTCTATTGCACCAGCCGTGACATTCTGGAAAAGGCATGTTTTCGACCTGAATTTATACATACCATTGACAAGTCTTAAACATTTTTTTTCTTATGACGATAATATGTACATTTTTATCATAGAAATACTGTGAAGAAGAAAGAAATTCTTCTTCACCTGAATTTTACCATTTCAGAGATAGACAACCATTGCTGAAGTTTGCTGTCTGACTTTCTATTGTTCACCTAGGTGCCCACATACAGTATATGAATATTCTCTCCAAATATATGCTGGATATTCTTTTTTGTTTTTTTCTTTTGGTGGTACCAGGGATCAAACTCAGGACCTTGTACTTGCGAGGCAGGCATGGTGCTACTGAGCTAAATCCCTGGGTGGATATTCTTTTTGATATACTGTTTTCTTTCCACTTCTTAAAATTGGATTAATATTATCCTGTTACTAAAGATTCTTAATACTTTCTTCACACAATAAGCTTTTCTATGGATTTTTTTTACAATTACATTATTGTTCAAAATTTTTTTCAATTTTTCCCTTTTAGCCACTTTAGTCAATGTCTTTATAACTAAAGGTTAAGAAATTGAATAGCTGAGCCCAAAGCTAAGGAATTTTTAGAGATTACTGTTCATTGTGTCTAAATTACAGACTGCATTCATACCAGTATTTGGTTGGTATGAGATATTCTCCTTCCCCTAATTCATCTTTGCTAATTTAACAGGCCCCAAATGGTTTTCTACTTTATAAACTTTTCTTTGACCAATGTGAGATTGAATATTTGTTCAAGTGTTCATTGACTGTCAGCATTTTTCTTTTGAAAATTTTTGTGCCCTTTCACATAGTTGTCTTGTTGAGATTGCTCTTTTTCACACTGACTTATAAAACCATTTTAAAAACAAAGTCTATTAACCCTATCATATATAGTGTATTTCTCCTTTCCATTGTGACTCTGTTTATAGTGTGTTTTAGAAAACCACCTGGTACCTTTGCATTTTCTGCATTTTTAATTTAATTTACCAGACAGTGACATGGCATTAGCGTTCACTTGCCTTAAATAGTTATTAAAAGAGTCCCCCCCCCCAATCCCCTCCAAAGTATACTATGATCATCCAGTGGAAATATCTGTGTAATTGTAGCATCTTTAATGTCTCTATGGCTATCTCAAAGAACTATAAAGAACAATTAATTTTACTTGCTATCAGGGCCCCTGTGAATCTTGGCAAATGTTCAGCTTATAGGCGAGAATATCCAAGCCAACTCACAATTTACTGTGCAGTTGGCTACAAATTACTGAGATGTTTTTTAATCCATCTAAAAGAATGCTGTCTCTTGAACACTAAATTATGACAACTTATCTGACAGACTTGAGAGCATCTAATGGTTCTATCTCTAGGTAATGTGATCCAGCTGGAGATTCAAGGTATGCAAAGCCCATGTTTTTAGAACAAAAGGGTACTTTTCTCTAGCCAGTAAGTAAAAGTGATTTTTTCAGCTATAAAAGGACAAAAGGTTTTGAAATGATCCCACTGGGCAGGGTTTCCTAGACTTGTTTTTCTGGCAGTTAGCCATAGAGCTAAGCCCGAGTCTTCCAAACTTCTTCCATTTTTGTAGCAGTGTGAAGAATTCACTGGCTGAGGCTGGAGTCTCTTTATGGTGTGATGAATATCCAGCATCCTCTTAACCTAGAAGCTGCCACAGCTGGACATGTACCGATGTCATCAGTGAGCCATTGGTCCATATGTATTAAGCACTGAAGATATGGTCCTTTTTCCTTTTGATTTAGGTACTTTTCCTGCTCTCTCGGGTTTTGTTTTTCTCTTCAAAGAAATACATTTAACGCTATGAATATAACAAGAATGGTAAATAGTCCTTGGCTTCAGTGAGAAGTTATCAAAGATGTTGAACTAATGTATTATTTCATCTCATGTTCAAAGTTTTTTTTGGTACCGGGGATCGAACTCAGGTCCTTGAGCTTGCAAGGCAGGCGGCAGAACCACTGAGCTAAATCCCTGGCCCTCATGTTCAAAGTTTTAACAGCTCTATAACATGGATTGCCTTTGTTAATTTTCTGGGTATGCTTCATAATCCTGCAAACAAGAATACTGTGATCTGTTTTCATTGCTCTTTTGTAAAAAGAAATGGTCCGCCTCTTGGTCCCAGGCTTTTGCTAGAGTCAGATAAAAATTATGTAAATGGCTAGAAATGATTCACCTCAAAGCATGTACAGAGAAATCAGTACCATGTAGGTGCTTTATATGAATTACCAATAACAAGATTAACAGTAACAACCATGTGTGCTATCCTAGTTATTGTTCCAAATAACTAGGCATATTTAGTTCCTGAAAATAACCCCTTAGGGTAGGGGATATTGTTTTCCTTATATTTCAGATGACTATAGCAAACAAAGTTAAGTAGCTGAGCCAGGATTTGAACATGAAAAATCTGTCTGTACAGCTTGCCCCTTTACTCATTAAGTTGATACTACAATACCACAAGATTGGTGTAGTATCATCATTTTATAGATGAGAAGCTGAAGGTCAGAGGAGTTAATAACTTTGCAGTAACTTTTCACAGACCTGGAGAGAAGCAGCAATTAATTGAAATCTTAATTCCAAAGTCTTCTTCATGCTTTTCTCATACTGTGAAATGTTCCCTTGAATTTAGGGTTTTGTCTACTTCAGAGAAAGCTTATAACTGGCCAAGAGACATATGCTGAAGTGGGTCTAGTGAAACACATTCTCGCAGATTCTTTTTGCACAGGGAGGTTTCATTTAAACTGCACTCTAGGGGGCAGGGATTTAGCTCAGTGGTTTCGCTGCCTGCTGTGCAAGCGCAAGGACCTGAGTTCGATCCCTGGTACTGGAAAAAACAAACAAAAACCCAGATAAACTGCACTCTATTTGTGTGAGTGACATAGCTGTAGAACTTGGCTTTTGAATTTATCCCTGCCTCTGGGACTTTGCATTTGCTGTCCCACAGCTTGGAACACTTTGTCCCCAGACTGCCATGCCTGACTCCTTCTCAGGTGTCAGTTCAAATGCAGGACCTTGGTGGTCCTGGCCCTAAAATCCTGTTTTCATCTCCTAGGGCTGCCACAACGAAGCACCACAAACTGAGTGGAATAAAACAACTGAAATTTATTCTTTCACAGTACTACAAGCCAGAAGTCCAAATCCAAGGTGATATGGGGCCATACTTCCTCAGAATGCTGCAAGGAAGACTCCTTCCTTGCCTCTTCCATTTCTAGAGACTGCACGAGTTCCTTGGCTCATGGCAGTGCAACTCCTATGTCTCTTTTTGCCTTTATGGAGCTCGCGCCTCTGTGTTTCTCTTCTTTTTATGAGAATACTTATTGAATTTAGGACACACTTGGATAATCCATGATGATGTCATTTCAAGATCCTAACTTGCAAAGACTGTTTCCCCAAGTAAGCTTCAGGAGGCTGAGTCTTGTAGGGGCTACCATCCAACCTGAGGTTAAGCAGCCTTCGTTGCTGTTGTACTCTGTGACATTAGCTTCCACTTTATTTCTTCAAAGCACTTGTTATTTTATGCATCTTGTTCTTTTTGTATCTGCTTTCCTTTTGCCCATCTCCATCTTCTCAAATTCAGAATTTTTGAATAAAAAGCTGTCATGTTCACTGATATTGACAGGATATAGAACAATGTTTAGTTTATTGTAAGGATCACCAAATATCTACTGCATAAATGGTTGAAATAATGATACAGTTAGGCCAATGAAGTATCAATTTGACTCTTTGATTCTTTCAACGATTGCCAGGATTTTATTGTATTTCTGTTATTATTTTTAAGTTTTTGAGTTTTAATTGAATATTTTTGGAAAAGCAAATGTATTATGGGACACAGTGGATAAATATATCCGACCATTTCAATATAACACTTCATTCCTAACTTGTCTTGTTAGTTCCTTTTGTTTTTGCTCCCCCACCACCAGGAATGAATCCTCAGTGGAATATTTCCTTCTCCCTTAGGCTCTGATCACCTACGTGAGAAAGATGGCCTCTGGGCTGTCTTGGTCTGGCTTTCCATCATTGCTGCCCGGAAGCAGGGTGTGGAGGAAATTGTTCGAGATCACTGGGCCAAATATGGCCGCCATTACTATTGCAGGTGAGAAGGGAGGGTCTCTGCATGCACCCTGGGGAATTACTCTTAGGTTCTTTTTAAAACTGATGGCCTAGAACTTTAAGGAGGAAGCATCTTTCAGGAAGATCTGAAAGATACAGAGGCTGGAGTTGGATTACCCCAAAAGATATGGGGGGGGGTGTCAAGAGCTACCAAACTCGGGTCCTTAGCTTGCGAGGCAGGCGGTGGAACCTCTGAGCTAAATCCCTGGCCCATCTCACTGTAATCTTTTCATCATTGTCTAGAAGGTAGGCTCTCTCCCAAGAGCATAGATGAATGGGAGAGCTTTGAAAACTCCTCACATAGTCAAACTGGGGGCATTTCCTGTTGGTTGTCCACCCATATTTATCAAAGAAGGAGGACAGATACAAAAGCTGTGGCTAGTTGAGGTGTTTTCTTAATCCTCTTTCTACCTTTGCCTTATCTTCTGACCAATAGTTGGAACAATGTCCAGGATGTCTAAGCTGGTACTCTTTGAAGGAACCACATGGTTCAGGAGCCTCAGATTTTGCTAGAGGTTTACTCTCATAAAGCAACTCAGAAAAGGAAAATATTACCTGGGGTGGAGGAGATTAAAGGGTGGTCTGTAGGAGCTTAGGGTAGATGATGTGCATTCTTTTCCTGTTGGTGAATTGAGAGAGTATTCTGGGGGCATGGTTGCTTGCTAGGTAGGTGAATCTAGTTATGTAGGTATATGTTACTAGTATCAAGCCATGATTTAGGGAAATGGGTGGAAATTGGAGAGAACTTGGGGTGGGATGAGGGAATGTTGAGTGTCTTAGAGACTCTGTGTATTAAAAACAGAGATATTGTGGCTCATTTTGCTTTGATTTTAAATACGTAATTAACTACTGTGGGTGTTTAGTTGTGTTTCGAAAGCTTGAGGGACAGAAAGAGAGCTTTAGACCCTTCCCTTATAAGGTGATTATTTCTTTTCTTAAGAAGCTATTTACTTAGATAAATATCAGAGAATAAAGACTATTTAATTTTATTAAAATTAAAGGGATTGGAATGTTCTGGAAAGTGTAGACAACACTGTAATGTTCTTGGTTCCTGTTTAGTTAAGAAGGCTGGGAATGCAATAGCCTGCAAACCTCCTCTGATTATTTATTGCATCAGAAAATCAAGATTCTTACGGGGCTGGGGATTTAGCTCAGTGGTTCTGGTGTCTGCCTTGTGAGTGCAAGGTTCTGAGCTCGATCCCCCGTGCCAAAAAAAAAAAAAAAAGACTCTTAGGGCAGAAAAGAACTTGTCCAACTCATAAGTGTTTTCAACAAGTGCTTACCCCCCCCCCCCGATTTTTGTGG